ACCACAACACAGTTAATTCCTTAGTGATGTGCCAGCACCATCTTCTTGAACTTCCCATGCTCCTGTTGGGGGCTAAGAACACGCTTATCTCCCTGAGCATGGCCTTCATAAGTCCATTCCATCACACATATTCTGGCATTTCCCCTCTAACCTTGCTATTTCTTCTCTTAATATTTTACTGAGAGGACTGTTTGGCATATATATCAAACTGATGACATAACTAAGAAATTAAATTATTATTTAATTGTTGTTTGGCGGATTAGATCCGAGATGGTGACACTGAGAAGGCTCCCTTCATCAACAAATTATGTAGAAGTGAGCTTCCTTCCACAATCACTTCCAGTCAAAACAGCCTCTGGATCAAGTTCAAATCTGATATTTCAGCTAATACATCTAGCTTCAAGGCCACTTATGAAGTTGGTAAGTGAAACTGTCCAATAATGTTTTGATTTATCAATGTAGTGATAGCCACTTTTATAACGTTCTAGGGTGTCCACTGACTTTACGGGACAAAGTATGGTATAAATTCTGCAGACCATTTTAAATAGACTAAAAATGGGAACACTGATGATCCTAGGGGAAGGTGACATAATTTTCTTTCAATCTCATCCAATGCTATCCTGAAGTAGTTAAGCCTTATAATACCTTGTTTTACTGTTCAGGATAGCAGACATTTTAGAAGACAATAATCTTGCCACGTTTCTGCCAGATTCCTCCAAGGATCTCACTGCAATACATTTTTTCATTATCCCCACTTTCATAACTTTTAAGGAGAAGCTAGCAGGGATGAGGAAAGGCTGCAACAGTGGCCTCCAAACTATCTAGCAGAAAACCTGTAGAGAAATTGTTCTGATTAAGTGCCCAACTCCCCCTTATAAATAAAGCTGCTCCAACTTGAACATTATTTAAAAAGTAAGCACTTCCCTTCATTCTTCTTTTCCTGGGGGACCAAGTTTGACATGACACTAAAGAATTCCATTGACTTGTGTGTGTATTTGTGTGTGGGTGTGCATAGGGAGATGCTTTGCTACTTCTGATCACTGTTTTTGGCAGAGTTGCTAGAAGGATTGGCATAGCAAGGAAGGAAAATGGGGGAAAAAGAAAACAACAAAATCATATTATGTTACATATAGGAAATAATTCAGCCTAATTTTTAAATACATCATTAATCCTTGATCACATTAAATAATATTGACCACTCTTTCCATTACACCAATAGGGAGCCAATTCATAAGCACAAAGTCAACATGTCAGCAATTCAAGATTGTAAAGCTAGAGTCAGATTGTTTTTCCAACATTGATGAGTTGGAAATCATGACATTTACTGCCTCCACATGCTCAATAAATCCATAACTCATATAAAAACAAGTTCCAAACTTGTGATATACAGTTCAAGAGTACCTCTATAGCATTAAACTACAGAGGTGTCAATAAGATCAAAACATTTTTCCCCAAAATTTTATTTATTTAACACATTTTAGCCTATCATAATGTGGGAAGGAAATCTTCTTCCCACCATTCAGTCTTCCTCCCTCCTCCCCACCATACAGTCTTCCCACCGTAATTAAAGCAAAAGGTCTTTTCTCCTGCAACTCTGGTTGGAATTTGAGTTTTCTAGTCACTTCAGGGCGATCTGCTAAGACTGCCTCTTTACTAACGGTTTCCTAGAGGCTTTACCTTTACCCCTTTTTCCCCATCCTTCTGTCCTCTGTAAGGAAGGTACTCTGATGCCCAGTAGCTCCTAAGGCTCTGCTTCCACAGTTTGCTCCTTTGCCCACAAACTTGGGCATAGGGAGCAAAGAAGGGGAAGGAAGCTTATATTTTATTCCAGGATAAGCAGTCCAAATGGCCAGACACCTCAAGATTGTTCCTGATGGGCAGACCAGGGTACCTGCATCCCCACCCCATGACTATCCAGATGGATGTGCACCCTCCAGATGACTTCACTATGAACCACCCTGTGAAGTGGCTACTTGACACTGGCTTCCAGACTAACCTCAAGTCTAAGACCAGATCTACATCAAGTCTTCAAGTAAAAGAACATCCTCCAGTCAAAGTGGGAAAGAGCTCTGCAAACCAAAAGGGCTTCAGGTGCTTGGGGAAAACTGATGTCCCTTCCTGCACGCTCCCACCCAAAAGCTAGTAAGGATCAAAGAAGGAATAGCTAAAGTATTAGAGCAGTGTTTCTCAACCTTGGTCACTTGAAGATGTGTGGACTTCAATTCCCAGAATTCCCCAGCCGGCCATCTGCATCCTTTGGCATTCTCTCTCCATGTATAGCTGTATTCTACTTTGTAAGATATAGTTTGAGATATTGCACTACTGGAAGTTGAAGTCCACACATCTTCAAGTGGCCAAGGTTGAGAAGCACTGCATTGGAGGCTAAACTATAAGTTATAGTAAGGTCTCTCTCTCTCTCTCTCTCTCTCTCTCTCTCTCTCTCCCCC